ACCACCTCTGACTGGCCCTGCCCCTATCTATTCTCTCCCTCCCAAGTCCCAGCTGATTGAGAGGAAATGGGGATTTTGCAGTAACCTTCCCCTGGAATGGGGAGGAAATGGACATTTTACAGTATCCTTCCCCTGCCACGCCCACCAAACCATGTCCACCAAGCCACGCCCACAGAACCGGTAGTAAAAAAATTTGAACCCCACCACTGCAATCACCTCTTGGAAAGCATAGATAAAAAGTTTTGACAGTACATGGAAACTTTTATTCAGTTAATATTCAGTTCCTATAAGAAGAATGTTTCCTCCAGAAGTGGGAAATAGTTCAATCTGCAATCTGTATTTATTGGAATATTCCTTATTCAGCAACAGAACCTAGCTACTTCCCCCAAAGGATATAGCAAAGTAATATCTGTATATCCTTCTGAGGACAAAAACAACTTTAAATTTTCCAGCTGAATACACTGTTCAAGGAATGCAGATGTTGATTGAATCCTATAAACCTCAACTGGGTTTTGTCAACCTCTACTGACAAAAAGCTGCTTAATCCAGTGGAGAATTCCAGAGACATAAAGGAGAGGCAGCTATGCTGAAAATAAACAACAAACACAGGTCTTTTGTGATTCCTTTTCCCTACTCTCACTCCTATCTGATGTCTGCCCATTACTGATATTAGAATTATCTATTAGTATAAACTGGTAGCAGTGAGAAATTGCATATGTGTATTCCTCAAGCTAATACTTAAGATTTTCTGCTTACTGTATTATTGCACAAAAAAAGATTCAATTAACTCAGAAAATTTACATTCTAAATCTTCAGCATCAATCTTCTTACAGAAGATGGAAAGGAGCATGGAAAAGGGAATTAAAACTTTACGCAAAAAGAGGGATGAGAAAGAGGGAATAGCCAAAGAAAATTGCATTGCTTTTCTTCTAATGTTTAAAAAAATATAATTACATACGTCTAGAGCTATGGCATTTATTTGGAGGCAGTTCCAAATACTTTCTGATTTACATAATTTCAAAGCAAACCTAATCATCATGTTTCTGTGTCATCTAGCACAATTAAACTTACTTAAATCTATACCATACTTCAAGGAATTCATCTTCACTAGTATCCAATATCTTATGTCCTCTATCTTTATCACTCCATTCCTTGTTTTCATTAAGCTTCAAGAGTCAGGAAAGAATTTGGTGAACTTGATTCATTATAGTTTGTGATATTTTCAGTATTTGAACTAAAAATATCCTTCTATTATTTTCCCCCTTACTATAACATCACAACAATCTACATTTTAAAAAATAGCTGTGATTGAGGGTATAACTATAAATAATAATAATGCCATCATCAATCTCATCATTTTAAAATATTAATGTAAATGGCACCTGCAACATCTCCTGATAGTGTCTGCAGAATGCCACAATTGGGTAAAAATTAATTTCAAAAATTAAATGTCAGAAAACTCATATTCGAACCAAATCCTGTAAAATTTTAGGTTAGAACCTCACGATTGCATAAGATTTTGAGTGAGAATGTTGTTCTCTTTGTTGATCTTGCATGTTTAATTGCTGTATGTTTTATATTTTAATTATTTTGTATCGCCAGTCAGAAAAGGTTTATCTCCTTGCATTAATATCAGGAAGTAGAAAAGAGTTAGTGGCAGAACAAAATGTAGGAAGAGTGGTTTTGGTTTAAACTTTTGTTTCTCAATCTCAGTTAAAAAAAAGTCTCACAAGCACAACTGGGGTGGGATGGGGATGGTGTGTGTGTTTTTATGTAAAAAACAATATGCATTTGTACAGAGATTTCTAAGTGGAGAAATTTTATACAACTTCTTGCCACACTTAAAATACACAGCATGGATGGGAACTATTTCTCCTTTTTGCACCTGGTTTCTATTTAAATGAAATAGATTTCTAATCATATCTTTTATACTGCATGTGTTAGGCCTCAAATCTTACAATTTTCTTGTGAACTTTCTGGAGGTGAAACATAAAATAATAATTAGGCAAGTTATAATCTAGCTAATTTGCCTTGTTTTGCCACTCAGCCTAGGTCCTGTCTTGTTGTTGTTGTTGTTAATCATCATCTTCACACAATCAGCCAGATGTTCAGACTGGGTTTGGCATTTTTGTCTACCTATCGAGTCCTCACCAAGGACCTGGGATAGGCAAATCTAGATGTTCGGTGGTATTACAGATATTGTTGCAGGATGGAAGCAGTTCCAAGTAAAGCTGTCTTCTGCAATTGACTGATGGAAAATTTGTCAATGCCAATGGTGTTCAAATGGTGCTCCAGTTGTTTTGGGATTGCACCCAAGGCGCCTATTACTATTGGTATTAGACTTGCTTGCCTTTGCCATAGTCGTCTATTTCTATTTGTAGGTCTTTGTATTTTGTTATCTTCAGTTCTTTCTCTTCTCCTCTGCTGCCTCCAGGCACTGCCACATTCACTATCCAGACTTTTTTGTCTTTCTTATCGAGAGCTGTTAAGTCTGGGGTGCCTGTCTGTCTGAATTTGGAAGTCCCAGAGCAATTTAACTTCTTCATTTTCTATGTATTGTTGTTGTTGTTCTTTTAACCAAATTGACCTTTCATTCCCTTCACAGGGTTTGCATAGTCAACATTCTGTTGTTGATCAATTCTTTTAGGACATACAAAGCTTTGGAGCACTATTCCAAGAGGGATTTCAGCTAAGAGATGGTCACAGAGAGATTTCAGTGGAACATTAGACCTATCCAGACCTCCACTGTCCTGAATATGTGAGAGAATGCAAATGTGTGTCCAGGTGACAGGAGAGGGCTTGTCCAACATCTTTACATATAAAACCCCATTCCATCCACACTTGACTTTAATACATTTAGCTCATCAAAAATTAAAAAAGCAATCAAAATCAAATGAGAAAAAATAGGAAACCAGTAAAACCAAATGCAGTCATACACATACAACAAAAGCTAGGTGTACCATCCCGCATCTCTCCCAAATTGTGTTTTTTTAGTCCATATGTTGGCTTCTTGGAGAGGATCACAGGTGGCAATGAAAGCACAGGGTTTCAGAATTTGGGCATCTTCTCTCTAAATTTCAGAGGTACAATCTCACAACATTAGGTAGCATAAATGAAGTGTGTGTGTGTGGGGGGGGTTTCCCATGTTGCATGGGCATTGCTTACTACAACTAAATATGCTTAGTGGTCCCTTCAGTGGGGAGCTGAGCAGGCAAAACTGGGGTACACAACTGAGGTAAGAAGCGAGGGCTGGCTTCTATACTTCCACACATTCAGGCTGATAAATACAGTATGTCAACAAAAATGGACATCAAACATTGAGCACAAGCTCTACCAATGTGTTCAAGAAGATTCTGCCTTCTTTAAATTAGCTTGAAGTTGAGAATATAGAGGGAGAAGATGTCATACCTCCCAAATTATTATGCTGTTGTTCTCAAGAAAAAAATGTATGTACTATGAAAAAAGTAATACAAAAATGTGTGTGTGTGTGTGTGTGTGTGTGTGTGTGTGTGTGTGTGTGTGTGTATGCAAGTTTTGGTGTATTCGGGTTTTTTCCCATGTAAGATTGAGAGTATCTTGGCGACGTTTCGACGAGGTCCCACTCATCATCTTCAGGCTGGTGTCTTCGGCTTCGTGCTTGTGCGAGGAAAGCACAAGAAAGCTTTCCTTGCACAAGCATGAAGCCGAAAACACCAGCCTGAAGATGACGAGTGGGACCTCGTCGAAACGTCGCCAAGATACTCTCAATCTTACATCTCTACCCATGAAAATCTATGAAAACAAATATATATATACCTGCCATGCCAGAATGTGTGTGTGTGTGTGTGTGTGTGTGTGAAAAGGATTTGATATATGCTTAGCCAAATCGGGATTCCACTTTCCATACTGAATTTCACTCCAATCTGTTCTAGAGGATCCACAAATCTGTACAGCAGATTGGAGGCACACACAGAAAATGGCACACTGAATGTCAGGGTTCCAAGTAACACCTCCAACAAAAAGAGAACTCCAAGGCTTTAGGTTCCTCAAAGTTCCTTTTTATTGAAGATGTCATTTTGGCACATCTGGGAAAACCCGAATCTGAAAGTTTCCAGGTGTTCCCCACCCAAGTGAAAGTTCAAGTCCCTGCCCAGCACCCTCATGTCCATCACATGGCCCAATCATCCATCGTCCAAACTGGAGACACCTCCCAGTCATCTGACTCCAGGTGCCAGGGCAATGCGTCCTTGACTCTCTGAGAAAGGAATGTTATTTTGACTACATACTACATATCACCCATACTCAATGCAATCCCCCCTCCCATTTTCCCAGAGAAGAATATGTGGCAGGCACATCTAAGGTAAAAGATGGCTTCCAGGTCTGACACGAAGTGGAATATAATCCACTCTCTCTGTCCAATACACATTTCCATTTTTTAATAATTTCTGCGTATTATATAGTTGTGTATCTTTGGAGAAGGAAATTGAACTTCAGCCTAATCTCCAGCCTTTTCCAGACACTAAAGCTAGGAGTTTAAATACTAGATATAATGCAATCATTTCCCTGTGAAATAGAGGGCCCAGAAAGCTGAATTCCCAATGGAAATATCCACTAATCTGCATTTACAATCTCAGAGGTACAGAATCTCAGAGGTCTGTTTAAGAAACAATATTCCTCATGAATAATTGCTAAGTTCTAGACTTGGCCATGGGCAGTTTTGCTAAATCCCCAGTGCTTATTTCAGCTCCAAATTTTATATGCTGGAAGCAACATCACTCACCTGCTTTTATATTACCATTGAATCTATACCCTCTTTAATAAGTGAACTGCCTTTGAACTCTACTGTTGCGACATCATTCTGCCTGGTTTGGAGTAGGGGATTGGGGAGACGTACCTGAACTCTTGTCATAATCCTAGATGCTCTTTCTGAAAAGTATCTTGGGTCTCACTGGGCGTTTAGACCATCTGTGCATGTATTTAATATTATGTAACAACCCAGCTGTACATCTGCATCCCTCTAGGTGACCTGCTCTGGAAAGGATATTGAGCTTCATTCAATGGGCTGCTGAATTTGAAAAATTTTTGGATGCAAATGCAAATGCTGTGACGTACGTATTTACTCGAGTGTATAGCATATTCTAAACAATTGCATAGAATTTTTATTTTAAATAAAGGTATGATTTCGTGTGTTGCTGAAAACAGCACATTGAACGGAAGCAGTGGAATAACCTTGGGAAAATATTTAAATAAGTAAAAACCCACAGTATCCTACTAATAAATATGCAGCGATTCATTTTTAATATGTAAATTGTGCTTATGTTTTTCAAGCATTTGATTTCTATGCTTCATAAGAACAATAACCATCTTCAGCTTAATGAGGGGTGATTGTTATTATAAATGCAGCCCGTGAAAACTGGATGTAATAGATAAACCCAAAATATGAAATTATCCTGTTTTCTTTCCCCCTAGTAAACCTATGCCGTCTCTCAGTCCTATATTAAAGATATTGGAATTACGCAGCTCTAAATTCCAAAAAGAGATGATGTCCCAACCCATAACAAAGGTTCGCCAAGGCAATAGAAGTCTTTCCTGCCTTAATAATCTCCTATTTTAAACCCTGTAATCACATTACTTCTCTCCCTCCCTCTCCCTCTCTCCCTCTCCCTCCCTCCCTCCCTCCCCCTCCCTCCTTCATAATTTAAACCTGGAGAAGTAACAGAATCTGACAAAAGAACAACTGGTTTAAAAGAAGCAGTTGTATTCAAATTGCATATGCAGAAATATTCAATTTCATGGGTTATTCATCCTGCACAGTATGTGCACCTAGAAATATAGTTTAATGCATATGGAAGAAAGGAGGGTGAAGGAAACAAGGGGCCACATGTGTTTTCTTTGGATGAAATGTCATTGTTTCTTTTAAACCCCTGTCCAATTTTGAAATTCTGCCTGGCTCACTTTGAAACTAGGTCCCTGAATTACAACATTTTCTTAATATTGAAGACGATTTCAAGATAATGCATAGAACAGTCACAATAATAATAACACTTTGACTGATATACTCTTTCCTAGTGCTTCACAACACTCTCGAAGCAAATCAGCATATTTTCCCAACAAACTGGGTCCTCATTTTACCAGTCTCAGAAGGATGGAAGGCTGAGTCAACCTTGAGCTGGTCAGGATCGAACTCCTAGCAGTGAGCAGAGTCAGCCTGCATTCTAACCGGGCGTATGACAATTCGCTATGACCAATTCGCCATGGCCAACTTGTCATGGCCAACTCACTGTGGCTAAGTTGCCACAGCCAACTTGCCACAGCCAACTCGCTGCAGGACAAGTTGCCACGGCCATCTCACCAAAGGACAACTCACTGCGGGACAAGAGTCATGCTAATATCAAAGAAATGGGAGGATAGAATCATTAAAGAAAGGATGCAAAGGGAGGGACAGAATGAAATGTGAATGGCAAAAATTAAAATACTTTTTATTTATTTTAAATAATTAAATAGAATTGTTAAATTGTCCCACGACAATTGGGTTGTCCCGCATTGAGTTGGTCGTGGAGAGCTGGTCTGCAGTGAGTTGGCTGCAGTGAGCTGGCTGTGGTGAGTGACTATAGTGAGTTGTCCGCAGCAAGTTGGCCGTGGCAAATTGTCCCATTCCCATTCTAACCACTGTGTCACCATGGCAGTGGTGGTATTCAGCCGGTTCTATCCGGTTTGAGAGAACCGGTAGCGGCGGCTACGGGAGGCTCTGCCCACCCACCCCAACATCATCACATCCTATTTATTGATGTTTTGATGCTCTGTGCATGTGTGGAAGGCCCTGCACATGCACGGAGGTGGCACATGCAAGCAGAGCGCACGCTCACATTTGTGAACCGGTAGTGAAGGTAAGTGAATACCATCCCTGCACCACGGCTCTTAAATAGACTAAATATATTGACCAGGCTATCTGGTTCATCATCTGAGATTAAACCAGTTGAACAAGAAGGGCACGTTGTGAGGATATTGTTCATGATTGAACAGTATGTCAGGTTTCGATGTCATCTCAAATAAAATAAATTGCATTTCCAAACAGATAGTCTTTGAAGAAATCTTTCATTTTATTAAGCATGACAATCTGGCCCCGATTGTGGCATAGCCAACTCTGACTTCTTGACCCCAAACCTTCCCTTTCCGTTCCCCAATTCTGTGTGTCTCATTGGCCTTCTTCCAAATCACTCTTCCCATATCTACTACTTAAGCTCCCAGGAATGTCCCCCCTTCCATCTCATCTCCTAGGGGATATTATCTTCAAGGAAAATAAGTAGGTGAAATGTCAAGCATCCTCTTGCCAGCTGCCCCCTCTTCTCCTTCTTATGTCAGCACTAGAGTAAATGCAGGTTGAAGTGCTGACACAGTACTGATTATTAAAATTTCCAGGTATCATTTTAATTGTTTCATTTAGGGTCACAAGACAGAGAGAAAAGCAAAGATATACAGTACTTACCATAATCTCATCACAAATTGTATGGATGAGAAATAGTCCACTTACTGACTCTTTTCAGAGCATTTGATCTATGGTCTCTCGGCCCCAGGTCACATGCACTTCCTTGAAGCCCTTACTACAACCTGCTACAGGTATCCAAGCTTCTAATTTACCTGTGCAATTCTATCATTTAGCTGATTAGCTGGCTACAGGAGAACAATGAAGTTGCATGAGAATTCCCAGTGGTGAAATCTAAAATTTGTTACTACCGGTTCTGTGGGCGTGGCTTGGGGGGGGTAATGTGACTGGGTGGGTGTGGCCAACTTTTTTTTTTTTTACTTTTAAAACCATTTTTTCTACAACCTCTTCGGCTGAAGAGGTTGTAAAAAAATGTTTTTAAAAGCCTCTGATGATCCCAGCTGAGTTGCCTGATTGTCAGAGGCTTTTTTTCTTTTAAAAACATTTTTTCTACAATCTCTTCGGCTGAAGAGGTTGTTAAAAAATGCTTTTAAAAGCCTCTGACGATCCCAGTTGAGCCGCATGATCATCAGAGGCTCTTTTTTTTTTTTTTGTACTTTTAAAAGCATTTTTTCGGCTGAAGAGGTTGTAGAAAAAATGCTTTTAAAAATAAAAAAAGAAGCCTCTGGTGATTGCACGGCTCAGCTGGGCATGGGGGGGGAGGCAGGGATTTTTGCTATCGGTTCTCCAAACCACCCACCTCCATCACTCCCAACTGGGAGCATTTCACCCCTGAGAATTCCCCTCACCAGCATATCATATATATATTATACATAGCCTGGAAAAAAAAATCCAATTGTAGGGGACATTGGCAAGCTAATCTTGGTGTGAGGCACAAACAACCGGATGACCTTGGATCAGCCCTTCTTTCTCAGTGCTAGGAAGCAGGCAGTGGCACACTATTTCCAAAAAAAAGCTGCAAAGGTAGTTGCCAGAAGTCAGTGCTGACTTGAACGCCCTACCCCCAAATAAAATTTCTCGGCGTGCTTTTCTCCTCACCTAAATCAGAGTTTTCAACATGTATACTAGCCGGGAGGTGGGGGTGTGGGGGTGGGGAGACTAGAATGGAGATGAACACACATGGACGGTTTCATCCCTTCCTCCACAGCACAATTGTGCTCTTTAGCATTTGTGATTGGAGACTGCAATTTAAATAGGGTGGAGAACCCAGGGAAAATCATTAAACTCCATTCTTCTCATCCATCTGTTCTTCTCTCACTTATGTGGGTAAAGTGCCAATGAGGAAGAAAAAAAAAACACCTAGTAGATATTAAATCTTCTTCTCTCTGCACAATATGTCATGAAAGAGAGAAGGGGGAGCATTTTTGAGAAAGTGATGGGACGGGGATTCAAATCCACCTGTCTCCTTAACTACCTCACTTAAAGTGTTCTGCCCTATAAGCAACTAATGCAGCATTGTAGAGGCAAAAGGTCCAGTGACAAGAATTAAAATCCACCGTTCTTCTTTGAATATGTCACTCAACTTGAATTAATGTATAATTCATCTCAAGGTGAAAAAGCCCTTGTATTTGTCACAAGTCTCTGTCAGTCTCTCACTATTTGCGGGTAAAAATGAAAGACACTGATATTTTCATGACAGTGTAACTCATACAGTAATGCAAAAGGGTTTTAGGTTGTTTTTCCCATCCTGAATTTATTTGTTTATTATTTATTTTATTGAAAGAACATTTATATGGCTGCCCAACTCCCTCTCAGGGACTCTTACAAAGATAAAAACTCAATATAAAAACAATTAAAAAAACAATAACCCTCCACTCTCTAGCAATAACAATCGATGAATAAATTATCTTTGATGAACATGTTCACTAGAAGAAAAATATTAGGAAGGAGTTTCCTGGATTTTAATCTAAAAAAAAAAAGTTACTTTCCCCAAATTCAGAGAAATCTATATTTTATTTATATATTAATTTATTAGATTTATTTGGCATTCCTTTCATTTCAAATGACTCTGGGTGGCTTGCAACATAATAAGCATTAAAGATATTAAAATCCTGCCAGTTGAAATTCCTTGACTGCCAGGATCCACAGTATGCCCTCTCTGCCAGCGTGGATGGGGCAGGTCAGTCCCACCCAGGTGAGACAGTTCCTAAAGTAATCTGGACCATGAGGGATTTTATAGGTGATTACCAACATCTTGAATTGCACCCAGAAATAAACTGGCAAGTGGGATTCATTCTATGACTGCCTTAGTCCACCTGCCATCAGTTCTTTTTGCTATGGGACCAGCCCATTTCCATTTCAATTCTTTTACTCTCTTGACGATATCGTGTACTTTTGTTTGTTCTCTAATCCATGTGCAGGTCTTTCTAGCTCGGCTTGTAATGCCGAGCAGGTATCTTTCCATGGCTGTCCTAGGTCAATACTGTAATGTGTGTGTGTGTGTGTGTGTGTGTGTGTGTGTGTGTGTGTGTGTATCTAAATATATCTATATATCGGGGTGAAATATAAAATTTGTTACTACCGGTTCTGTGGGCGTGGCTTGGTGGTGGTGGGGGTAATGTGACTGGGTGGGCATGGCCAACTTTTTTTTTTTTAAAACTTTTTGAACCATTTTTTCTAATGCTTTGAAAAGCCTCTGCCGATCAGGCAACTCAGCTGGGATCGTCAGAGAGGTTTTTTAAAAAATGCCTCTCTGCAGCTCAGAAAATGCCTCTCTGCCGATCAGGGAACTCAGCTGGGATCGTCAGAGACTTTTCAAAGCATTTTTTTTACCACCTCTTCGGCCAAGAGGTTGCAGAAAAAAATGCTTTGAAAAGCCTCTGATGATCCCAGCTGAGCCGCGCGATCATCAGAGGCTTTTTTTTTTAACTTTTAAAAGCATTTTTTTGTCGGAAGAGGTTGTAGAAAAAATGCTTTTAAAAGTAAAGAAAAAAAACCCTCTGATGATCGTGCAGCCCAGCTGGGCATGGTGGGAGGGGGGCGCAGGGATTTTTGCTACCAGTTCTCCGAACCACCTGCCGCCATCGCTACCGGATCAGGCCATCTGGTCCGAACCGGGAGCATTTCACCCCTGCTACTGTATATATCTCTATATCTCTCTATCTCTATCTTTCTATCTCTATCTCTATCTCTATCTCTATCTCTACCTCTATCTATCTATCTATCTATCTATCTATCTATCTATCTATCTATCTATCTATCTATCATCTATCTATCTATCTATCTATCTATCTATCTATCTATCTATCTACCTCTACCTACCTATCTCTCTCTCTCTACCTACCTATCTACCTACCTACATCTATCAACTATCTATCTATCTATCTATCTATCTATCTATCTATCTATCTATCTATCTATCTATCTATCTATCTCTACCTACCTATATCTATCTATCTATCTATCTATCTATCTATCTATCTATCTATCTATCTATCTATCTATCTAGCTATCTAGCTATCTAGCTATCTAGCTATCTAGCTATCTAGCTATCTAGCTATCTAGCTATCTAGCTATCTAGCTATCTAGCTATCATCTATCTATCTATATACATATATATATTATATACATATACAGTATATATTATGATTTTCAGGTCCACTAAATTCAACATTTCTAAATATCAAGAAACCCTTTAGATTTTGCCCCAAGGACTCCAATCATGAGTGGTAGAATAGTGGATTTCTTTTTCCATAAGCATTCAACTTCAATCTGCAAGTCCCTGTATTTCATATTTTTTTACTGATTGGTTTTCCTCAATCCTAGCATCACCCAGTATGTCAGTGGTGGTAATCAGCCGGATCAGGCTGGTTCGGGGGAACCGGTAGTAGCCACCTGCAGGTGGGTGCCCACCCGCCCTGGCACTATGCTGGCCTATTTAGCCATGTTTTCTAAGCTGCGCGCCTGTGTGCAAGCCTCACGCGCAAGCAAAGCACATGCAGATTTTTGGTGCACGGCAAACCGGTGGTAAAATTATGTGAAACCCACCTCTGCTGTATGCTAATATCAATGAACCAAACTTTCTTCTTTTCAATAACTCTTATATCAGGTATACTATGAACAAGGTGCCTGTCAGTTTGAATTTTGAAGTCCCATAAGATCATCTTAACCTGCTAATTTTCCAAAACGTCTCAACCTGATGGTCCCAGTGGTTCTTGCTACATTCAAATCCAAACCTCTGGCAATAAATAACTCTGGCAACTTGATATTATAATTATTGCCACTGTGTTCAGTAGTCAAGATCTTACGCGCCATGATATCCCGCTGTAACTAAATTCTCTGTTTCCTCCATCGTAAACAGGTTTTATTTAGAAATAAATCCTATGAATCTCGTACCACATGACTCTGACCTACGGTTGAGCTAAATTATTGAAAATAACTCTACATGTTTGTAAGTTTTGACAGCGCTTTGCATCATATGTGTTGCACATTCTGCTGGTCCTCTCTAAGCAACGTGTAAAAACATCCATCAAGGACATTTCAAGTAATTGTCATTGTACCACTCATAAGGAGTGACGAACGGGAATAAAACTCCCAGGGCAGATTAAAAATAGAAAACAACTTTGAACCGGTGAATCTCCATAATGCAATCAAGCTTATTGCCAGAATTCTTCAAAAGGTGCCACAAGAGAACATGAAAATTAAAGTACAAAATAGTTTGTGCAGAAAGTAAAATTAACACAGCTTGGGCTTCTGCCAATTCTGCTTTCTGCCAAAAATTGAATGTTTCCATTAATGCAATCCAGGGAAAAACAGTCGGTGTTTTCAAAAACTTGGTTTCCTGCATCAACAGATTGCTGCCCCACCTGCCCCCAAAATGTCCAAATCAACAGAGGCCACATAAGGTTTGCTTATGTAGCTGTGAGATTAAGGCACTGACCTAGAAGCTGGGAGACTGTGAGTTCTAGTTCATTTTCAGCTATGGAAGCTCATTGTGGAAGTTTAGGCCACTCTTTCTATGCCCAACCCAACTCACAGTTGGGTGTTGTGGGAAAAGAAGGGGAAGGAGCATTATTTATTCCACCCTGAAATCCCAACATGAATCTTGTAAAGATAAATACATCAATATCCAGCCACTGCTCTCAGAGTTCTGTAGTATTAGACATAAGATTGGGTGATTGCAAATTGTATATTTTGCTGCCATTATATTCTTCCTTTTAATTCAGTTACAATGTAATAAAAGTCTTTAATTCCTACATAGGAATAAACCAGGGGTGAAATCCAGCAGGTTCTGACAGGTTCTGGAGAACCAGTAGTGGAAATTTTGAGTAGTTCGGAGAACCAGCAAATACCACCTCTGGCTGGCCCCCGAGTGGGGCGGGAATGGAGATTTTGCAGTATCCTCTCCCTGCCACACCCACCAAGCCATGCCCACCAAGCCATGCCACACCCACCAATCCACGCCCACAGATCCAGTAGTAAAAAAAATTGGATTTCACCACTGGAATAAACTACAACACAAATACAGTATAGAAGAGATCTGTCCTTAGAGCAAGAATGAAGAACCTTTTGTGAGCAAGGGCTGCAATTCTCATCTGGTGTGTTAACATTTCAGAGACCGCAGTGGGCAGAATTATTTAAAAAGTGGGCAGAGCCATATTACACAGATTGGGAGAACCAAGATTTCCTGGCTTTGTCCTTCTCAACTGCTTTGCAAAGATTAATGTATGGTTATGATCTTCATGATATGAGCCAGCAGTGTGCTGCACTTGCCAAAAAAAGCCAATGCAGTCCTAGGCTGCATTAATCGAGGGATAGAATCAAGATTACGTGAAGAGCTAATACCAATTTACGATGCCTTGGTAAGACCATGCTTGAAATATTGCATCCGATTTTGGACACCACGATATAAAAAAGATGTTAAGACTCTAGAAAGAGTGCAGAGAAGAACAACAAAGATGATTAAGGGATTGAAGGCTAATACATATGAAGAACATTGCAGGAATTGGGTATATTGAATTTAATGAAAAGAAGGACTAGGGATAGCAGTGTTCCAATATCTCAGGGGCTGCCACAAAGAAGAGGGAGTCAGCCTATTTTTCAAAGCAGATGAAGGCAGGACAAGAAGCAATGGGTGGAAACTAATCAAGGAGAGAAGCATCCTAGCTATCAGGAGAAATTTCCTGATGGTTAGAACAATTAACCAGTGGAACAACTTGCCTCCAGAAGTTATGGGTGGGCAGAGGCTTAGACTAGAAGACCTCCAACTCTGGACCCTTCCAACTCTGTTATTCTGCTATTCTCATCAACAACAACTACATTAAGCCTGCCTTTTGAGCTTAGTCTACAATCTTCAGGTGTGTCTGCTTTCTGATAAAGCAAATGTTTTCAAAACAGTATAGTTGGTGGATATTCCAGGGAGCCAACCAGTAGAACAGTGGGCACTACAGAAGACCTTAGGGACTTATATGCAAATCTATATTTTCACTATGGGGAGGGAGAGAAACAAAACACAAGAGGGCAACGTGTAACTCTGCAATCCTTTTCACAATCTAGTGGCACCACTTTGGAAGGAGAAATATACAGTAGGTTGTGTAGTTGTCCATTGTATGAGCATCAGACTTTGTGAGCACAGATTGGGAAAGGGAGATACCTTTTCAACAAATGGATCTTTTTCAAGTGATGAACACACAATTAGTGTATAAGAATTAGAAAAACAGTGTTTACATTGGCCCTACTGAGTCAATGGGGAATCCTTGACAAGATGATATCTGAGGGTCTCCTCTCCATGTGTGCCATTGAGTTTTGCTCTTTCTTACCCACCCCTCATGTTTTCACATCCCTCTCATCTACCTACTCTTTGTCCTTTCCAATCTTGAGAGAAAGTGATGGGTGGGTTGACAACTAAACTCTTTTTAGTGATGACTAAAAATATTATTTTTCTTCAGAAGTTAGAGAAAATCTGGAGCTGAGTTTATAATGGGAATAACACCCATTCAATATTAGATCTTAAATTTATGAAAAATAACTATGTAAGCTTAAGGGCCATCTTGGATCAGATGGTATTGGTATTGATGTCATGCTCTACTTCTTTTCTCCCTAATTCTCCCACAGATACATATTAAAAACAAACACCTCTACAGTAACTGCATTTTTACATAAAGAAAATTATTTGTCATCTGAGTCTGTTAAAAATGTTCTCATTTAACACCAAGATAGCAGTAGCGTTCCACCTATTTAAATAGATTCTCAATCCTTTTAGAGAACAATCCACCGATGGAAGACTCTAACAGGATGGTGCCATATACAATTAGCCTAACGGTCTCTCAGAGTAGACTATTTTAGGATTATTTGACTATAGTTATATTATTAGCACAAACCAAGTCTTTGCTTTTAGGTTAAACTGACACATCTGACTTTTGAGAAGACAATGCCATTGCAAATTTGTTTGCACAAATCCAGTTACTGGAATATTCCTTCAAGATAACATATTCAAGAGATCTTTTGTGGCAAATGATGTACATTCAGTGGTATGATTGTGTGAGGAATAAACTTAGATAACATGTACAATCTGAGAATTGAGAGCCAGTTTGGTGTAGTGGTTAGAGCACAAAGCTAGCAATTAGAAGATTGTGATCCTAATCCTACCTAGGCATGAAACCAGCTGGCCAGTCAATTTTTCTCAGCCCTAAGAAGCACTCAAGGGCAAACCATTTCTGAAAATCTTGCTAAAGAAACTCCAGAGATTACACCAAACAATCATCAGAGGGAGAGAGGGAGGAAGGAAGGAAGGTTGGTTATACATATCCAGAAGCAAAAACATAATTAGATCTGTTATTTTCAGATTTCATTATTGATAAAATGATATGTATGCCAGTCACATATATCTTTTAACTCAGGGGTGAAATGTAAAATTTGTTACTACCGGTTCTGTGAGCGTGGCTTTGGGGGGAGGGGTTGTAATATGACTGGGTGGGCGTGGCCAACTTTTTTTTTTACTTTTCAAAGCATTTTTTCTGCAAATGCAAAAAATTGCTTTGAAAAGCCTCTGCCGATCAGGAACACAGCTGGGATCATCAGAGCCTTTTCAAAGCAAACAAAATGTAGAGCCTTGTTTCATCACTGGATTCACATCTGAGAAAATGCTCTTTTTATCTTAAACAGATTCTCATAATGCAAATTCAGCTTTCTCCAACCTGGCTGCTATGTATCAGATTATTATTATTATTATTTTATTATTATTTATTGAATTTATATACCGCCCTACTCCCGAAGGACTCAGGGCGGTGAACAGCCAAATAAAATACATATAATATAAATGTTAAAAAACCATTAAAATACAATTAAATAATTGGCCCGAAAAACAAAATTTAAAACACCCCAAATTCATAAGACAAGTTTAAAATTTAAATTTTTTTTAAAAATTTTAAAAACAATTTAAGAGAGAGGTTAGGCCAGGCCAGCCTTCTGAAATAGAAATGTTTTGATGGCACGGTGGAAAGCGCATAGATCCGGGATCCTCCGTATCTCCGGGGGGAGCTCGTTCCAGATGACGAGTGCCCCCACAGACAAGGCTCTCCCCCTGGGGGCCGCCAGTCGACACTGTTTGGCCGATGGCACCCTGAGGAGCCCCTCTCTATGGGAGCGTACTGGTCGGTGAGAGGCTACTGGTGACAGAAGGCGGTCTCGTAAATACCCCGGTCCTAAGCCATGGAGCGCTCTAAAGGTGGTAACCAGAACCTTGAAGCGCACCCGGAAGACCACTGGGAGCCAGTGCAGCTCGCGCAGGAGGGGGGTCACATGGGAGCGCCATGTCGCTCCCATAACCACCTGCGTGGCCACATTTTGGATCAGCTGGAGCCTCCGGGTGCTCCTCAAGGGGAGCCCCATGTAGAGAGCA